CATTCATTTAAGAAATCCCGCTGGTGATGAAAAACATGCCAGACACATTTAGCATCGATTACGCGTGTTTACAAATATCTCCTTGCGAAACACTGATTTTATAATGTTTCTGGGCCATTCCTCGAAATAAAATCGGCAAACATGCACAAGAAAACATTTTCCTAATCAAAATACCAAAAATCCTTCGTGTGTTTGCGCAAGATGTGCCTTATGGTATGAAAGCGTACGTTTTATGGAAACGTCGACTTGTCAACGACTTGTCAATGTCGGCAACTTAGATTAAACCCGTTGTCAACGCAAATTAACTTCTATTGTCTAATGACCAATCAAACGCCTGCGTTGCTGGTGCAACGCGCTCCGTGAACGCCAGCTGCAGTGATGTTATTACAGTCCCTCTATTTTTCTCGCCCCTCCCAGAGCTATAATCCCCGACGTCCGCCCCATTGGTACATTTGAAAATCAAGATACCCGTGACGGTAAGACGCGATATATCTAAACGATCTCACGAGAAAATAGGGGACTGTGAACAGTCTAAAAGGATATGTATACGTTAAAGTAAACATTGTCAGAAAGTTCCGAACCGTTACTTTGCATGATGAATCCCACAAGAGAAATTTCTACAGCAACTTCTAAATTTTGTGAAGCGCAATTCATTACTGGTCACAATTGATATAATGATCTTATTTTCAGTACAATTTTTACAATTGAACCTTTATGTACGAAAGCGACAAAACTCTCTCGAAAACCACGCACCTGTGGAAAACACCAACATTTTAACAGCGAAAGCCAAGAGCCATAATAGGACAGAGAGGGACACTCCCAGTCACGCCTTTGGGATATCTTAATTCCAAAAAAGTTATTTTTAGAACTATGCGGACCATGCGGAAACAGTTTCCGGTAACCTGGTTGACTTCCGGAAGATTCAGCGCCAAAGCGAGGTAGGGTCATTAGATGAATAAAATGGCTGCCTAAGTGGAGGGACGATGTGGAGGGTGTGTACTTGATAAATTGTCCTTCTTCAACGAAGAACATACCATAGAAACTGGTTAAAACTTCTACACAAACGGATCCTTTACAAGAAACGGTAGAGGTAAATGCGTAGAGGTAATCAGTACAACCTGATAAGGAAGTTAACTACTAGCAAGCAGCTAACTAATCTGTCTGTTGCGTGAGCAATTCATGGTTTTCAGACACACTGTTATACTTACAACGATGTTGTTTATCGATATTTTCTTCGAATCAGTGTATAATAAAACAATTATAGATTCGGTTTCGGTAACATCCGGAATAGTGAAGGCTTTTGGTAGTGTTTACCCGACATTGATTATTTCGAAAGTCAAAAAACTCATCCAATAACTTTTCGTAATGTAAATCTACCATGAGGTATAACCAAAAGCTTTCATTGTAGTTCTATAAAAATAACAAGAAGTAATAAAATGTATCTAACACTGAAACCATATCCAATGACACCGGTACTTTGGTTCAACTGTTTTATCTTAAGTACACTATTATGTTCCCTTGTCCCCTGCTGTGAAGAAATATTGACTTGATAGTTAAACGTTTCCCGAAGCACTTCAGTACGTTAGAACTCTGCAAAATATCGTGGCTGAAATTATGTAACCTTTTTTAAAGGTCGAATTTTTGGCAGTCACTCTTAAACGCTTTCATTCAGTTTGCTTCTCATCTTGCCAACGGGACGTGTGGGAATTCATGCTCTTCAGATTGTGCTTTTTTGATGATGTTGGAATGCTCTGACTGGCTGCCATTATCAGCCTTTTACCAGTTGTCTCAACACCTTTCATGACCTCATTTATTACCAACGGCTGCCATATTTAGATATATAGCGCATTTTTGTGGAAAATAGGTCGCAAGGAGGGGGGATTTCAAGCTTTCCTCACACAGCCACCCCTTGTAATTGTTTGCCATGCGGTCAGTAACGGTTATCGATTTACGGCTTTGCGACCGTAAGAAGAGCTTAGGTGCTCGTCGCTTTGGACTTTATTGGATAAGATTCACATTCGCCGTGAATAGTCGCAGTGGCAGCAGTAGCGCAGTGGTAGTTTCTAACTGTCAATTAGCCTGAATTTTAGCCGTCTCCCGAGTCGCAAGTGAAGTTTGCGACTCGAGGAGCTGGCTGAAATTCAATCGAGAGCACAGCCCCCTATTTTCTTCTGCCAAGTTGAAGATGGCGATCGCCGCCGTCAAAGTGATTTGGGTATCCTCTGACGACAAAACTGATGAGAGCGAAGTTGGTGCTTACATGGCAAACAATTACAAGAGGTAGCTGTGTGAGGAAAGCTTGAAAACCCTCCTCCTCGCGACCGATTTCAATATTTTTGAATTTAGAAGCAAGCCTTCACCCATTACTGTCATTTGCATGGACCCTCACTCGCCCCAAAAAATTAATTGCGACAAAATATTGTTTTCTCAGATTCGGAGATGATACCAGTTTCTTTTTCCTAACCAGATTTCTTAATTTTTCGTTGTTTTGTTATTTTGTTATTATTAATTTTTAGAAAAATTATGTTGTTATTATTATTTCATTTTATTATTATTATATCTTTTTCATGAAAGTTATTTTTATTTTTTCATGTTCCGGGATGTTCCGGCATGTTCCGGAACGTTCCGTGTTCCTGGTTTTATCGACGCCCCATTTTTGTTTTAGTTTGCAACCCTGTTTTGATTGCAACAACAGTTTTTTTTTTTTTTTTTTCTCTCCCTTCGTTTTTTAATAGTTCGTAAGGAAATCGCAACCTAAACGAAAACTTTTGTTTTAACATTAGCAGTATAAACAAATTCAACACCGGACCACGGTATCGCACAATTTCCTTGACATTACAAGAAACCGTAACGACGATCCATAACAAAAACAATTCATCAACGTGATGGAATTTGTGTTGTAAATTACAGCAATATTCCTATTAGGGTTACTTTGACTTTATCTCAATATAAATCAATTTTCAAAAACTCTCAATGTATGTCCCTATATAGTGATATCATTCTAGATTTAACAGGAGCACTAATAAAAGTGTATTAAACGCTGCGTGACTGTTAAAAAATATTGCCCCTGGAATTATTCTTACCAATATTGATAAAGCTGTGAGAAAAAAAAAGCGTGCTTTAACTCCTACTCTATTGGAAATCAGTACTGAAAAGTTTGCCTGTCTGCATCTTTCGCTGCTTTCGTTTAGCTTCTCATTCATGATTAAGACAACAAAAATGTTAGCTATCCTTAAGGCCAACCCCCCTCCCCGCCCCCCTTACCTCCAATGCCGTTTGACAATGCCTTTAAGCCATAACCTGGTCTATTCTTTTCGTTCATTCTTTACACATATTTGGGTGACAAGTGGTTGCTGTGAAAACGAAATTTAACTTCATAATGACGCAACGTTGAGATCACATTAGGTTTTCGCACTTTTTGTGCTTATGTAGGCAACAGTTCTGAAAGCAGTTAATGAATATCACTATCGTTGTTATTATTATTATTATTATTATTTTATTATTACTATTATTATTATTATCATTATTATTAATTATGATACGTGTAAACGCAAAATTTAGTTTTTCACACCTCCACCGCTTTGTCGACGGATTAGCCCGAACAATATTTACAACCTCATCATGTTTGCCAAGAACATCGTTATGTCTGCTCTAGGCTCATTAATTCACATCTCAGACTTTCCGACACTACTGTAAACTATTCATGATTCCTTCATGTTCCCCAGTCTTCAACTAATTAATTATTACTCAAGAGATATATGCCCAACCTTAAATTTCTCCTTGTCGATCAATTATCAACCAGACTAAAGTTGCCAAAGAAAACGGCATTTTTAGGTTAATAGAGAAAACTGAAGATGATGTTATTGAAGTTAAGAGAATGGTGTAGTGCCGAAGGCCATAAATTAAATAGGCCAAGCTGACTAATTTTAAATAGTTTAAGTAACTCTTTTGTTTTGTTTTGTTTTGTTACTGTTTTTGCCTTTTTGTTATTTTTTTGTTTTCATTTTTATATGAGGACGTCAGTTATTTCATTTCCCCCTTTAAAGCCATTTTCCCCCTTATGTCAATTTAGGATAAAGCATTTGTTTGCTTAATCTTTGAAAAAATTTAGACTCTGAGGGGACCTATATGTATGGTGAGTTAGATCTTTTATTGTCCAAACGCAATTAAAAATACTTGTCATGATTCACATTTTCATTTTACATAGATTAGTAGAGCACTGTTAAACAAAAACTACCAATTACTCCTAATCTCTCTTCAGATTCAAATGACTGTATTTTTAGGGTTTTAATTTACAATTTGTCGTGTCATACCTCATTTGAAATAAAAGCTCTTACTAAATAACTGGTCGTGATAAAATGCACGTAAAATATGAAACAATATAATACTTTTGTTGTCTTTAAAAGGCCACTTTTATGTTGTCTTGCTACATTTTCCGATGGTACTTTAAGTCGAGAGAGGAAAGTAACTTTAATGAAACACTCAGACATGAATGTTAAAAAAATATTGTGCCTTAAATATTTTAAAACAATGCCAATATAAAGCATTTAGTGGAAATTCATGTTCTGGAACGGTAATAAAGTTTATTTTATTTTATTTTATGATACTACGTTTGTTATCGATAACATAATAACTTGCAATTACCAAAAAATAAATGACTGGATAAAATAATAAAACAACAGCAAAAGGGAAAAAAATGGGGACTTATTGTAAACCACTGGGTAAATATTGACGTTCGTTATTTGATATGAAATATTATTATTTTTAAAAACCTTGAAACATTGATTTCTAACAAAAAAAAAGAAAGAAAAGTTTGCTTAAGATTTGTTTTACAAAGTGGTAAGCGAAACGAATTAGAGTTTGTAAAACTATAACTTCGCCTACTTATTAAACAAAAAATGCACTATGGCTCCAATATCTGCCCAGTTATCAGAGGCATCTACTTTTGATGTCATTTCAGTGGTTTCATGACTCTCTCACGACTGTTATTTACTTTCTCAGTCGAAATTCTTCATAGCATAGATCGGCCTGAAGTGTGCGCGACAATCACGTACGTGTTAATGCTGAATATTTGAAGTGTTTTTTATATATGTATCATTAATAACAAATAATTACAAGTAACACAAGGTCTCTGAATTGCAGAGGTATCCAAAAGGAAGTAACTGTTAATGAGAGACGGGCTAAATTATTTTTAGCTGTGGGTATTTAGGATATCCAGTATCGCTTTAAGTTCTACTTAATATTGAATAAATGTATGAATCCTCAAAGTGTAATCTGATCAACATTCTCGAACTTTATTTTAAGTGTTTTCCAGGATTTACGCAACCTTTTGGCACTCAGAATTATTAAGAACAATATTGATGTTATTGGAACAATTAAATGTGCAGCAACTGGTGCTCCAGCCCTCTATAAAGCAGGCCAGCTTTTCTCTGATCTCGTGTCTCGTGTCTCTTCCAGAGCGGTGAGGTGAAGACTAAGACAGCAAGAAACTACTCTAACGCAATGGCTCGTCTTTTGCTACTTTTTGTTGCGGCGATGATTTTGGCAGCCCATGCATCCCTTATCCCAGGGGTAAGTCAATTTTTAAAACCTCGACTATCTCACGAAACTTGTAAAACTGTACGCATGCTTCCACGAGTTAAAAGAACTATGTTATAATACTTTCTTTTGCTCTCTGATTTCCCTTTGTTAGCCTCTAATGTACTACCAGCAAAAACAAAAACTGAATGGTATTTTTTACTAAAACTTTTTGCCTTAAATGTTTCATTTCTGGAGCCAATTTGCATAGCATCTTCCCTATAGGGCCCTATTTAAAACTAAGAACTGTGATCATGTTCAGCCACATCCTTGTACTGATTTAAAAACTTTGCTAAACTCAAAAGTGACGCAGCACCTTAAGTACAGTAAGAGCATTCAAAGCAACAGTAAAACACATATCAGTGCTAAGCAAAGGTACCCATGGATTAATTTTTCCAATGTCTGCACTCTACAGGATTCGTTGTCGGAACTTGGGGAAATAGATGGTGAGGAAACAGCCGATGTGCCGGAGAATGAAGTGCCTGGAGAAGGTTAGTAAATTTTAAGAATGTTGAAACAAAATAAACTCTTTTTTTTTTTCGCAGACTATGCAATATAGTGGTAATTAATTTTTCTTTTTCCGTTCATTGTTATTTCGATGACGAAATGGACGAAAATGAAACAGAATTGGGCGAAGAAGACTTTGACGACGAGGAAGACTCAGATGAGATGCCAGAGGAAGGTACCAAGTATTTGCATAGCAACAAAAACCTTTAGATTACAAAAACAAGACTTTCACTTTGCTAAGTGGTGTGCGCGTGAAAACGCGATAGCTGGCGTCATTCTACTACGATTTTTAGCATTAATGTCGTAGTGATGAAAACAAGTCATCATTTTGCGATCAGAAGAGGGTTTAACCTCCTTCAATAAAGAAAAACGCGCTAGCTTGTCTGGTGAAAAAAGTGCAATGAGGCTTCCCGGGCTGTTTATTTTTGAAAAATACGCGAAAAAACTTTAAATGATATCTTTCCCTTGTAGTTATCCTAGTCCTCGAACCGAAAGGTCTCTATTGATGTTTTTTGACACAATGAATAAAGAAGAGTCGTGAAAAAGCTATTGTTGTTTCTTAATATTTCTTTTTACAAAATAGGCGGGGAGGTAGATGAAGGCCAGCCACAAGAAGACACCTCTGATGCAGCCATCACTCCTGGTGAAGGTGAGAGCTACTCTAAATACAACGCGCAAAAAAATAAATTAACCCTGGTACAAGGGATAGTTTGATAGAACCCCTCCCTTGATTTTTTATATGTTGTAGTATTTCGAAAAGATTTTTCCTTCAGTGGGAAGCCGTTCATCTTCTCGACAAGATGGGTATACTTTATGAGTGGTAGCGCTGCTGGAGGCCCCAAACACAGTCGCCAACTTGGATTTTACCCACAATTAGAAATCTCCTAAATTAAAACAGAGAGAATTGGTAATGTTTTGTGTTTGACATGTAAAATGACACATAAATAAGCACTTTGCTTCATTTTATCCACATGTTTTGCTTTTCTCGTTGAAACATATTGAAAAACATGCATTTTCACTAAATAAAATGGCTAGGTATCTCGTAACCATAGTTAATTACGCATTCAGAAAAGAGCAATGCAAATCATATGTCCTGATATAGAATAGCAGCTAGCTTTAGCGCTTTTGAGTTTACCAACGGTTGCTGAGCATCACCACAACATTTGCACGCGCACGTTTGAAAGCATAATGAGCGACCCGAACCACAAGTTAAGAAAGTTGTTGCCGCCTCTTCATAAGAGCAACTATAATCTAAGGCACGCGCGGACTTTCACTTTGTCGCATTGCAAGACAAATAGATTTAAGAACAGTTTTTTTATGGCCTCAGGCAGAATTGTGAATAATTTTTAGGTTTCTTATTATACGTTTTTAGTCTTAGCTATTACAATTATTACTCATTTTTACAATTATTAGTATAAATTATTACCATTATGTAAATACGCAATTCAGCTTATGTTGCAATGTATTTAATAAAGTACCTACCTACCC